ACATGGAACGCCATAACCAAGTGGCCGGCATAGTGTACAGGAACATCTGTGCCGAGTATAACCTGGAAGTCCCGAGTCAAAATGGGAGATGCCCCCAAGGGTGGTGGAGAATGACCGAGCTAAGATCCTGTGGGACTTCCAGATACAGACGGACAAAATGGTGGTGGCTAACCAACCGGACATAGTGGTGGTAGACAAACAGAAGAAGACGGCCGTAGTGATCGATGTAGCGGTTCCGAATGACAGCAATATCAGGAAGAAGGAACACGAGAAGCTGGAGAAATCAAGGGCTCAGAGAAGAGCTCGAGAGGATGTGGAGGGTGAAGGTAACGGTGGTCCCCGTGGTAATCGGAGCACTAGGTGCGGTGACTCCCAAGCTAGGCGAGTGGCTCCAGCAGATCCCGGGAATAACATCGGAGATCTCTGTCCAGAATCTATCTCCCTGAAAATCTGTCCTACACAAACTGGCATTTATAAAATATACATAGACAGGGTGTCTGATATTTATGCCAGAGAGGAAACGACTGGCTTGTGCTGAAAAAGTTTTGCCACAGAGAACATGATGTAAGGCCTTGGACAGTTTTAAAGGCCGTGATCTGGACCAAAACACTAACCACGAGAAGGCTAAATGAGAAAAAAAAACAACCCAAAGAACCCCTTGTATAAACACACACACACGCGTGCACGCGCACACACACACACACAGTTACTTACAAAGACCATTTAAGGCTGGAGGCCTGTCTGGATCAGATGGCAAAACACTTAAAAGCTAAACTACAAGCAGTGACCACTGTAGCATATTTACAGGCTTAAGTAAAAGCATGTTTAATTCAGAGTAGCATTCAGGCGCTTGTCATGAAATACAAAGAGACACTCAAGTCCTCTACTCGTAGCTTTTGGCGGTTGATGAATAATCACTGTAAGTGGTAGCGTTCAGATGATCAATGCCTTTTTGGTAAACATAAGAGAAAGTGCTCTTTTCTTCCTAGTGGCTCCAATCAATCTGCTTTCCGACACATTCAGAGGGATTAGTCAAAGAAGTAACAGATTTCAAACAAACCATTCACTAAACCTCATCCACTGGCAGATTTAGTGAATGGTCAGTAACAGGATTGTAAGGTCTTAGTGTGTATCTGGCACTCACTGAAATATTTAGTACTTCTTTTTTCAGTTTCAGGCTGCAAACTGAGGGCAGTCAATTTACCATGTATACAGTGCTTAATAAATTTATAAGGCTACCACCCAATGTAAGGTTTATGCCACAGTTTCCCTCAATCACTTCTTTAATGAAAATTACATGCCTCACGTTAAAATATAATTATTTCTGTTATCCATACATTTTTAAACTTACTGTTTTACAAAAAGTTTTCTTTTTTAAAGTAATGCTTATTATAAATTTGTGATTCATTTTTTGATTTCATTTTGATTTTAATTTCTCAAAAACATCCAGCGTGCCAGCCCAAACATGGCAATAAAAACATGAAATCAGTGTTATTTGCCTTATACGTAATTGTATACAAGTTTCTAAAAGACAGATTTCTAAAACCTTTTCTTGTTTTTATGCCACGTAGTCTAATACATTTCTAAGCATTACAAGTTAACAGGGTTAGGGTTGAGGTTGGGGCTTAGGGGGTTAGATGCCATGATGTCACTATCTGTGACATAATCTGATCTTCACTGATTGGCTGAGAGAAATCCATGTGGTTTGACAACATCACAGTGAGCCGGAGGAAGCCAAACTGAATGAAATCAAATAAGGTTTCTGACCAGATAATGGATTAAGAGTGTTGTAAGGTTTGCAATGAAGCATAAATCTTACCTGTGTCTTTATAAACTAAGCATACAATGACAATAACAACAAAAAATGTTGTAGTCTATTAACTGTATTTATTGTAATCATCATTGTAAGGCCAGCTAACTGCTGAGGCTAAGTGAAAAACACATAACACGAAAAAGCTGTTTTTGCTATTCTAGCTTTTATATATGTACTCTTAATAAAAGCCTTCTTTATTATTAATAAAACAGCAACAGTTAGCTTGTTTTAGTCTTAAACAACTTTGGATTTAAATTTGGATTATTGCTCCAAAAAATTAAACCTGCCATTGCCATCTTTGTAAATTGCAGATGTGCTGTGCTATGAATGGAAAGCTTGACAACCACAGCAACAGTAACTAAGTGGGAGGCGGGGCTTACCAACCTGCCAACTGTTGAAAGAGAAGAGCAGAACACAATAGAGATCATGTGATCAAAAATGATAACCTATACAGAAGTAGGCAAACTGTTTCCCTATTTCCAGCACCAACCCCAGATAAAACACACAATCACAGGCCTACACAGACTATCTTCTATTCTTTTTACAGCTTTACTTTCATCCCTCTTAACCTCCTTTCTATGTGCACATTCACACAAACACTCCTCTCCCTCGTCACTCCATGCCTCCCTCTGTGAGGAGGGCAGTCTCTGCTTCCATCTGTGTGTGTAAGGGGTTGTCCTGGTGTGTCAGTAATAACAATTTCCCAGTGTTCCTCTCTGCCAATTAGCCCGGCCGTAATTACACAGACACATATGGAGCTGTCAATCACCCGGCTCCTCCACACAGGAACTCACCCACCCAGCGAAGAGAGCGAGAACGATAGAGAGACTGCGGCAGGGAGAGAGAAGGAGTTTCCAACAGCTAAGGCTATACCACTCTAAACGACCACACACTGTGCCAATAACATGAGCAGTATTTCTCTGACTGTGCAGCAATCCATCAGTTCCCAGGAAAGTGCCATGAAACAGGCTGCAGCAAAAAAAAAGAGTTTTGGAATTCATTTTGTGGAGTGTTTACAATTTTCTTGTTTACTACTGATCATGATTTGTGCAAATGGTGGAAAAGTAGGTGGAAAAAGAAGCATTGTATTCCATGAAAGAATACACTTAAGAGGTATGACTGAAATTGTCTTAATGTTTGTTTTTTTTTAAACTTTGTTTTTTCCATTTTTCAATTAAAAAAAACGAATGAGCTGAGCCTGAAAAGCAGGAGAGTTAGATACTTTTGTCTATACCGGCATACACACAGGGAGAGACTAGCAGCTATTTAGCCACCGGAGACTCTATGAAATGCCACCGTAGTGATGACAGTCAAAACAAAAAACAAGCAAGTGAAGCAAGTGATAAAAGCAAGTACCGAATGGAGCGAAAGATAACAGTAGCTGACATATGATGCAACCAGAGCCTAGAACATTCCTCTAGTAACCAAATGTCCATTTTAAAGAAGCTGGTGAAAAGCAGCTTGCTTTTTATGTGGACATGGCTTAACACATTGTTGGTTTTGGACACAATAATTTGCAGTTGAGAAATTGCCACATCTGTGACTTTTATAAGGTTTAAACTTAAATAAGCAAGCTGAAAATATTTGACAATGATGTTGTTGTGTTATGTAGGTGATATACATAACATGTACACTTACCTGCCATCAACTGCTTGTAAGCACTAATATCTAATTGCCAACTCAATGCATTTAATCATATAGACATGGTCTAGACAACCTGCTGTAGTTTACTAGAATGAGGAAGAAAGGCGACTTTAGTGACATAACATGACACGATTGCTGATGCAAGACAGGCTGGTCTGAGTATAACTGCTGATCTACTGTGATATTCCTATACAACCATCTCTAGGGTTCATAGATGGTCTGAAAAAGAGAAATCCAGTGAGTGGCAGTTCTCTGGGAGAAAATGACTTGTTGGTGCCAAAGTTGAGAGGGAAATGGTCGGAGTGCTTCAAGCTGACAGGAATGCACAGTCTGTGCCATGAAGTATTAAGGTGGTTCTGAAGCCAAATGGAGTCCAACCTGGTGCTAGCGAGTTATAACTAAGAGGTATACGAAGAGAGGCCGGTGAGTGTGAATTAATATTAGAGCACAAATTTTAAGAGAGCACAAATCTTAGTGATAATGCTGATTTTTGACACATATACTGTAGATGCTGAAAAAAATAATTTCTTGTGTAAAACTTCAATAAAATTATTTTTTCACTCAACAAGGTATATTGTTTATTTTGAGAAAAGACATTACTCTTTTATAAAGAATGTAGGAAGATTGTCTCAAACAATACATCAGGTACAAATTTCATTCAGCACAAAAGACTACCGTTTCACTATGTGGCACTTTGGATTACAAAGCACATTTTTGAAGGTATGTATAAAGCCTTTTAGTTTTAAACCTTTTGGGTCACCAAGCAATAAAACATGTCTGTTGCACCAAGAAAAAAATAACCAGATACATAACTGGAAAAAAAACGCATGACACCCATTTAATGTTCAATGCAGTAACATCTGTAATAAATGACACTTAAACCTACATTACCCATTTATCTAGCAACATTAATTAATCCCCGCTTTTACTCTTGTAAATAAATGCATTCATGTCTCACTTAATGCAGAGCCTGATTTCCCCTGAGCATCTCCAACAGAAGAAAACAAATGAAAGTTTAATAAAAATGAAGATAACATTGAGTTATCTGTCAGGCTTTCAAGTTGTGTGCGTGTTCTATGGTAAACTGTGTCGCCCTGATTTCTATCCATTCTACTCAGTCGACACTTGAAGCAACCCAAGAGGGAAAGAGAGAGTGAAAGCAAGAGTATCTGTGAATGCCCGCAAGTGTGGCAAGGTGTGCTTTACTTGTTTAGGTACTATATGTGGCTCTCGGGATTTAAGGTGGTGAACAGGGGGATAATAATAACAATAGTAATAAGATACTAATCATAATAATAATAACAACCTTTATTTAAATTACACATTTCTTATCAATACTGCAAAAGTGTTTTTGCACTGAAAGCAACAATGAATAATTAATAATAATAATAATATTAATAAAAAGTTATTTCCTAAGGTCCGGTGATGCAGATGGCAGGAAATGAAAAGAAGACAGGCAGAAAGTGGAGGGGGTAAAATATGAAGGAGAGATGGGTAGGCACAGGGCTAAAGGAGGAGGTCCAGTCCCAGCAGCAAGTCTTACCTCTGGGATGTCTTCTTGTACTTGCGCCTGCCAGAGAAAGAACAAACACGAGGAGAATGAGGCTTCGGAAAGACAGGACGAAAAGACATCAGGGTCATGCAAAAACCAGCTGAACATTACACTATAAAGATGATGACTGCGCTATCGCTATCTTTCTTGAGCTGAAAATTTCATGTGAACCAAGCACAATCTGATTTTTTTTTAACAAAGGAAAGAACTACACATTTACACATTATAAAGTTTATTTTAATGAATATAAAGTAAAACTGAGAATCCCAAATAATACAGATCAGTTATCAAATTAAAAGGAAAAATCTCCAGGGTTCAGGAACCCTATACTGAAGACATGACGTGGCTCCGTTATGCTTTACTGAGCATTTTGCTCAAATGGTAAGGCTCCACATTTCTCCTTAGAGGAAAAGGTCATGGCAAATCAACACAAAGTTGTTTTAAAGTGATCAGCTTTATCCTAGGAAGACATATTTCAGTCCTGACGGGAGTGTTTTCTTCCAGGATGGCAATGTCCCCATTTTGAGGGTACAATCATGTGCTATGTGCCTTTGCATTTACCAGATCTTGACTGAGAGTTTCAAGCGACATTGCTCTCCACTGCAATCATCAAAATGCCAAATAAGGAATGTGTTGCTCTCTCCGGTGGTGTTCCAGAGGCAGGGAATCAATACTAAGGTGTATTAAAAAGTCTTTAATGTGCATATGGTGGCCCAACAGCTTGCTAAAACAATTCATTTAATTTAGTTTTTTTCCTTTTAATTTATCACTGATCTGTATATAAACTTAATTGCAAATTGCATCATCAACTTCATGGCTTACTAGAATTGAAGCATATCAATAGTGTAAATGATCAAATCTCACAAATGCAAGCCTGCTCATGGCATTTATTGAGATGAAATGGGCAATTTAGCATATGTTCAATGGGTCTAATTCCTAAACTTGACTACCAACATAAAAAGTAAGAGCGCAGTACGATTAGAATAAAATAGTGACTCATTAAAATAAGAAACTTTTTCACTGATACTGGATCAAATGGGTACATTATAACAGTTACCTGTAAATAAGTGAAGAGCTTTAGAGTCTACTTTTTTGAGTCTACTGTTACAGTAAAGAGAAGTAAGAATGCAAATGCTTACAATCACTTATGCAGAAAAGGGATTTAAGAGTGTCATACCAATATGCAAAAAGACACACACACACACACACACACACACACACACGGCATTCAAACTCCACTCGATCCCACCAACCTTACTTCTACACACACGTACAAACATTGGGAAACCTACACAGCTACATTAACACACCTATTCTACTATCACTTACGTTTGGCCCTAAAACACACCCACACCTCCATGAAGTGATAACAGCATGGCTCTAAAAGCTGAGGTCATATACACACTCACTCACACACACTTACAGCACTCATGACAGCAAACTGGGGGGAGGCATAAACTCACAACTGTTTGACTACAGACATCTATTTAAATTCTAGTCAGGCACAATTCACAGCACTTAGCTTGATTTGCTCCTCCGTTGCTTTCAGTATCAATCTTTTAGAGCTCAGTGCAAAACTGCAAGCTAAGGAAGTTAATCCCCGTAAAGAAATGTTGAGAGCTCCCTTGAAATTAGTGGGAAAGGAAGAATGAATAAATCATTTAGGGTTGATGAAGCCATTGAAATGAAAACAAAATGAAGTTCCACAGTTTAACAGGGTAAACAATACAAAGAAAGACTAAATAAACAGTTTTAGGGGAAATATAATAATGAGACTTAAAAGACAGATCAATACTACATTAAGTAACTACGGGGAAAGTCAGGAGGCAAAAGCAGAACTAATAATGCATTATTTCTTTTTTCTAATCTTAGGTCACAGGTTTTGCCCTTTTACCCTCTTTTGGTGCGTGGGTCTTCTAATTAATTCTAATTAGATGTGGACAAGAAGTGAGGATGGGTCAGAGAATTCTAGGAATTATCACAATTATAAAGGTTAAACATTATAGTAAATGTAACCTTAAAATAAACTAAACATGATATTTCCATGGGGGGCAAGGGGGACGACTCGTCCATCACTGGGGGTGAAGTCACTAAGGCAGTTAAACTCCTTGTTGGCAGGGCCTCGGGGTGGATGTGGGTTGGTGGTTCCCATCTTTAAGAATGGGAACCACCAACTATAGGGGGAACACACTCGTCAGCCTACCCGGGAAAGTCTACGCCAGGGTGCAGGAAAGGAGAGTCCATCTGTTAGTCGAACATGAGGTACAGGAGGAACAATGCAGTTTTCGTCCCAATCGTGGAACACTGAACCAGTTCTTTACCCTCTTAGGGGGTACTTGAGGGTGCATGGGAGTTTGCGAGTCTACATGTGTTTTGTAGACTTGGAGAAGGCATTTGACCGTGTCCCTAGAAATGTTCTGTGGGAGGCACAGGAGTATGGGGTGTCTGTCCCATTGCTACGAGCCATTTGATCCTTATAGAACCATTGGAAGAGCTTGGTCTGCTTAGCTGGCAATAATCAGAATCAGAATCGTGTTTATTGGCCAAGTATATGTGCAGACACATACAGGGAATTTGGTTCCGGTAGATGGTGGCTCTCAAGCACAGTAATGTAAATCACACACACACACACACACAC